GCCATTTTTCTAAAAAAAAAAAAAAAAAATATATATATATATATATATATATATATATATATATATATATAGCATATTAAGCCCTTCTGTGTGTCTCCGTGAGCTTTGGGACTTTGTCCTGCTGGAAGATGGTCTAGATTGGTCCAGTCAGGTCCTGACCCCAGTGGACCCAGTTTTCATGGAGAACATTCTTGTACTTTAACCCTGACCAGGCTCCATGTCCCCCACATCATGATGCTGCCACCACCGTGCTTCACTGTTGGGACGTCTTCTGACGTCACGGCTTGTTCTGGCTCCGGAGGTCCAACCAGTTTAATTGACCAGAAGTGGACTCCAGTCGAGGCGCAGAAACACGTTGCTGCGACGTTTAAAATAAATCAGTGTCCCGACAGTCTGAAGATGTTTTACTGAAGGCCGGAGCTGCAGGTCAACCCTCTCTTGGCAGAGCCGGCCTGCGAGTTCAAACGAACGGCCGGCGGCAGAGAAACCTGGAAAACTCAGATGTTTTGGGAGATGTGGATCCTGGTGTTTTCCTTCCAGATCAACTCCAACCTTTCTTTGACTGATGAAACTAGAGGAAAGCATCCATGGGACCTTGGACTGAAGGTCGAGAAGGTCAAACAGTTGATTGGTAGAGAATATGTTTGGACCTTAGGATGACAAAGTTCCTCCAGTCAGAGCTTCAGGAGCACTTCTCTGCTCCTCAAGCGGAGCAGATGTTCACCGATGAAGAAAGAAATCCTTCAGCTGCTGCTCAGAGCCGAGCTGACGAGGGTCCGACGCTACGCAGACGACATGACTCTCGATCCGGATGAGTGCACAATCAACAAGTCACGTGTTGTGGTTCAAAGGTTCTTCTTCAACGTGTTTGTTTTAGGAAAGCAGAGTTTCTCCTCAGGAAGATTTTACTTTGAGGATCAGGTGGAAGAAAAGACAGTGGACTTTGGGAGTGTCCAAAGAGTCCACCAGCAGGATGGACCCCATCTCCCCCTTCGATCTGGTCCTGAGAAGATGGGGGTGTTTGTGGACTACGAGGACGATCTGGCTGCAGTTTTTACCGGCATCTTCTTCACCATGACTCTACCTGAACTTTGACCCCGGTCCAAACCACAATGGTGGAAACTCTGCCCCCTGACCATCAGCCCGTCGGACTGCATGAAACTAACATGATCTTCACATTAAAAACATGTCAATGTTTTGAGTGGATCAATGTAAAACCATAAATCCTTATGAACAAAACGAACTTTAACTGAGGCGTGTGGTCTGATAATAAGTTGTATTTAAATAAATGGTAGGAAGCAGTGTTTATTGTTTTCTTCATGTATTTATTAACAAAATCAGGGTTTTCTTATCAACTCTGAAGACATAAAACTGATAATATGGAAGGCTGCAGCGCCCTCTTGTGGTGTTTGTTGGTTACTGCAGTTTAAAACTAATTTTACACCAGAATCAGCAGAAAAAGTTTTTTTTTGTTAGTTTTTTTTTTTTTTGTAGGCGGAAATACTAACAAAGACTTTAAGTACTTTATCAAAAATGAAACAAAATAATAACACAGGAAACCGAATGTTTGTTTGTTCCTGTTTAAGCACGTGCTGGCGTTAGCATTGCAGCGTACAGCTACAGAAGCTAACGCAGCGCGCGCCATGAAGCTGAGCGTCAGGCGTTTCGAGTTTCATTGTTGGAAAATAATAATAATTAAAATAATAATAACCGTAATTGTCCAAAATAGTACGTATCCATGCAACTATCACTACACAAACAACGGTCAATCCCTGGTAGTTTTTAATTGTCAAAAGCACCTCTGCAATTTTAGTGAATCACTTTCCCTGGTGGTCTAGTGGTTAGGATTCGGCGCTCTCACCGCCGCGGCCCGGGTTCGATTCCCGGTCAGGGAACAAGATTTTGCCCCCTTTAGTTTGAAGCTCCACTCGTCGTTTCACTTTTCTTCTAAACTGCATTTAAAAAAATTGGCCCGGTCAAAGTTTTGCACTGAAAGAGTTGACAGGCAATTTAAAGAAAAGTCCGCTAAATAAAATCCTGAAAACAAATACTATTCTTTGGATTTTACAATTATTTTTAAAGGCGTTGAAAGGATAAGGAAAAGTAAGACATGTTTAATAAAAAAAAAAAAGTGACCTCCTTCGAGCCGGATTCGAACCAGCGACCTAAGGATCTCTGTTGAGCCACTACAGTCCTCCGCTCTACCAACTGAGCTATCGAAGGGGCTACAAACTATATAGCAAAGGCGCCATTTTGAAAAAATGAATAAACACCAGGAAGGAGCAAATCAAAGAATGCAGGATTACTTCGCGGGAATAAAAAAGAATCTTCATCAGTTGAGAGCGGGAATAAAACCAGTCTGTCCAATTTTCATTCACTTTTTATTTTTTGTTTATTACTCATTTATACTCCAAGTATTTTGCCATTTTTACATGTTGCTTGAGGTTTCATGCTTCTACAGCCCCCAGGACCTCCTCAAGACCTGGAGAGGACGGTGCCTTCAGGTGACACGCAGCAATGGGAAAAAATAAATCCACATTTTGAAACACGGCCTCAAACGCTGCGCCTGCAGTTTCTATGAACTGATGGAGGATGAGACAAGTACCTGTGTGGGCTTTTTATAAAAACAAGATCTTCAGGTGACCGTGCAGCGTTTGGACCAAAGAGCGATAACTAAACAGCACGGCTTCTTAAAATATTTTAACATAAAAAAAAAATACATTTTATCGTACAAATCTGCTGCGAAAACTTCCAGCGAAACAATAGAGGAGCGATACAGCATCAGGACCGCTGACGTGTAAAAAACAATTAGAAGCATCTTTTACCTCACAATAAAAATACGAGAGTTCGACTTTCTGTTAAAAACGTCACACTTAGATAAAAGTCTACCGTGAAAATCCTTTTCCAAAGAAAAGACGATCAGCTTTATTTCTGTACTCGAAGAAAACAAGACTAATAATACTGTCTTTGTAAACAAAACAAGTACAAATACATGAATAATACAACAGAAATGTACAAAATGGAAGAAAACAACAATTTGATCCATAATTGTGTCAAAATGGTGTTTAAAAAAGAAAAATGTAACTACAGGTCATAATCATCAGGATGACGTACCGTGTGTGTACAAATACACAGTACACAAACTCCTCCTGGATGAGAAACATCTGGATCTGAATCATTTTTAGAACCAGACCAGCCAGAAAAAAACGTGTTGCACACTTTCTGCCTCTCAGGAAAACTGTTTGGTTAATTCAGAACAGCAGCCGGGTTGTAACACTACAATACCCATGATCCTCTGCAAGACACCGGTGATGCTGCGTTCAGTGTACTCCGAAGTTAAAGGACAAAACTCGTCATCGTTACACTTGAACGGAAACAAACGCGCAGGGAAGACTGAACGCAGGAACGCAACGTGATGAAAACTTGGGAGCAAGTTTGATTTCTTTAAAAATAATTAAATAAAAGTACCTCAAATGTCTCGTACGTGATTTAGATGGTTCACTTTGTGAACTCCGAAGCATCAAAATGTTAAAAACGAACCTGGAGGACGTTGGTTAGACTAAACTTCGTGTCCTTTTGAGTCCGTTCTGAGAAAGTTGGCATGTTTAGTAAAATGTAAATAAATACAAACCGTAAATGTTTCAATAGTTGAAATAACAAAAAAAATAAAATCGTTTGGAAAAAGTGATTTTGAATTTTATGTTGGCAAAAGGAAACAATTGGCTGTAAAATGGTACAACTCAGAACCAGCTGGAGGAACATCTGGTGGCTGATTATCAGCAGGTCTGTTAGAAGTAAAGATGGGCACCGGTTCACCACCCTGAGGAAAACAGCATCTAGAAATTATTTTAATCTCCATCGTCTGCAGATTGGCAGAATCTATAGAAACCTTTGAGCTCAAAGGCTAAAGGTCGTGACCTTCGGGCCCTCAGGAGCCTCTGCATTAAAACCAGGTCTGGCTCTGTTCTGGCCTCAGGACCACTTCCACAGATCTTTGTCACAAATGCTGCTTAAAGCTCTATCAGGCAAAGAAGAAGTCGTATCTGAAAAATCATCCAGAACCGCTGCCGTCTTCTCTGGACCAGAGCTTGTTTTAAATGGACCGAGGTGAAGTCCAGAACTGTTCTGAGGCCAGATGGGTCCAAACCTGAAGATCTTCATAAACCACAGACCTCCATACTAAAGAGGAGAGGGACCATCCAGCCTGTTATCAGCGCACAGGTCAAAGCTGCCTCTGTGATGGTATGGGGGTGCATTTCTGTCTCCGGCATAGGTTGATTTCTACAAAGACTCCATCAATGCAGAGAATAATCTACAGGATTTAGAACATCTGCTCCCATACAGGACTATAGAACATCTAGAAACCTCCATCAGACCCAGAATGGGACAACATTCCCTCCAGAACCTCCCAAAACTGGTCTCTGGTCCTCCAGAACCTCCAAGAACTGGTCTCCTCAGGTCCTGGAGGTTTAGACTTGTTAAGAGTCTTCTCTGAGGAGACCTGGACCCAGTTGCTGAGATGGTCCGCTGCCATCAAATTCACTATCTGTAGTTTCTGAATTTCAACTCTTGATGTGTTCTGTTGTGTTCATGGTTGTTGTAATTTGTAGCTAATCTGCTGTTAACATTTTAATCCCAACATTCCATAGAATCAGGATTTTATTTCCGTGGATCAACCGGACAATGTTTGTTACTTTGTAAACTGAAACACTTTCGACCCACAGACCGAGACAAAACAGAACTAAACGTTCCACGTGTTCTGAAATGATGGTGAACCTCAGGGAAGTGCTTTAAAACCTCCGGCATGAGCGGTCCAGAACAAACACGAGTTCTGGTACTTGCGGGTTTTGCTTGGACCACGGCGGCTCCGAGACTCCAGACCAACCTGAAGAGCAGGCCGAGTTCGGTCGTTTCAACTGGAAGTGAACTCGTTAAACGAAGGTCGGGGGTAAAAAAAAATAAAAATCGACGCTAAATATGCTTCAGGTCTCTCTTGTGGCTCAGTGGAACTAACCTGTTTAAATAAAGGTTGAATGAATAAATGAGGATTAAAATAAAAATAACTCTTGGGAGCTGCAGCGCCTCAAAACAGCCAGCAGGGGGCGCAGAATCCCCACAAACACGAAGGCCATGAACAAAGAAAGTACCGGGAAAAGTACCGAACAAGTGATTTTTACTGTCCTGCCATCCTAAACTACATCCGTACACCATCTCCACTCCAGCTGCTACCCTCTTCCTCCTCCTCTTCCTCCTCCTCTTCTTCTTCTTCCCTCTTTAATCCCATTTTTTGCTGCTTTGTACCGTCTTTAATTCTCTCTCAGTAAAGTTAACTTGTTTTCATTCTGGATGTTAGTACCAACTCATTCTCACTCTTGTTTTTTTAGTAGCTAAAACTACGAGCCACTGGCCTCCTCCTCCTCCTCATTAGTCTGGTTGTACTTTTGTTTTCGCAAACCTCCTTCCTCCTCCATTGGCTTCAAAGTTTTGACGTCTGAACAAACTTGCATTGAACGTCAACGCTCATCCTCTCGGGCGTTTAGCTCCCCAAAACAAAAATAACGTCCACATCTGGACTCGGTTCTAAGTGCTGGCAGAGTTTCTCCTCAGTCCAGGACCTCCTCCTCCTCCTCTTCTTCGATTAGGTTTCTCACTTTTCCACTAGTGCATCTTCCTCGGTGATGCCCTGAGCGCGGAGCTCCTCCAGGACGTTGTCCAGGTGTCCCGGGTCGGGGAAGCCGTGGCCCGTCAGGTTGGAGCCGAACTCGGTTTTATGATGGACCTTGGATGGAAGCAGAGCGTCTTTAAGTTTCTGTGACTGTAAAACGTGGCACGAATCAGCGTCGGTGATGTTACCTCATTCCAGATGACGGTGTCGGACTCTCCCGTGGTGCTCGAAGTGCCGACGGAGAAGATCAACCTGCGGTCCCACGCCACCAGGAGCAGCCTCAGAACCTGCAGACAGGTTCTTTGTTAGACCCTGAGAACTGTTCAGTCAGCGATAAAACACGCCACTGTATGGTTATTCAGTGTCTTAAACGAGTTAAAAAAACTAAAAAAACAAAGACAAAAAACTTAGGAGCAGGATGTTTTTGATGGGCGACAACAGCTGCTTCTCAACGGTCATTGCTGATGTCTTTCCTCCCTGGTGTTATGCTTATCCCCCTCACAGTATCCTTACGTTGAAGTTAGAACACTGGGTACAAGTGTAGCAGTAGAGTGGTTTTCGTTCTTATCTGAGTGATGGGAGTTTGTGTGTTAATGTTGGTAATAGTGTACCTGCTTCGTTGCCTATTTCCTGAGGGGTTCCGCAGGGCTCAATTCTTGGACACCTTCTGTTTTCACTATATGTTTTTCTTTTGATGCTTTTAATTAATTTTCAGTTTTATTTATTTATTTTTTAATCGTTAAATTACTCCCATTGATTTCTATTGTTAAGTACTTTGGTAACAGCTGCTGTTTTAAATGTGCTTTATAAATAAAGTTGACATGGCGGTGTATGTAACCTCCTGAGGATCAGCTGACCCGAATGTTTGATCAGCAGCTCCTGGCTGCGTTTACCTTGCGTCCCTTCTCACTGTCTGGGAGGTAGCAGTGTCTCGGGAAGCCTCTGGCGGTAAAGGGCTTCGCTGGATTCGGATGTTCTGGTCCCTGAAAGAAGAGGGCTCATGTGAGCGGGCTCCCACACGCACCACACCTGGACCGAAGTGGCCACTGGGCACGGCTCGTGGCGTACCTGAACCCCAGGTGGGATGTTGTAGATGATGCGGATGGTTTTACAGTCGGGGTGACCCGGTAGAGAGTGAGGGATGACATGGTACTCCATCTTCCCTGCCGGTTGGTTGCCCGTCTTCACGCCGTAGATGGTTTTGCAGGTGGGACACTGAAGACTGGACCACAGAACTAAACTTAGCTCACGATCTGTGAACACGTAAATAAAAGCTTCTTGTTTTTTTGTACCTGCCGTCCTTGTTGCCGTTATTATACATGGCCACCAGGCACTGGAAGTGGTACTGATGTCCACACTGGGCTAACCGACCCACGGACTCCGCCTTCGAAACTGGACCCACACCTGGACCTTTGTACCCAGACGGTCCCCCCAAAGGCTCCATGCAGATGGTACAGTCCTGGAAAGAAAACCCAAATGAAACTGACCTTTTTGTCTTGAACATGTTCAGAATTAAACTGATCTGGACTTGGTCGGACACAAAGATCAGACAGAACCAGCTCCCCCTCACAGTCTGGACATACGCTGGCTCACCGGGCACAAACTGTTCAAGTGACTTTATGGCACCGGCCCGAGGTGGGCCTACCTACAGAACAAAGACGAGTGGGGTTGTACCTCCTCTGGTGGACTTTTGACTTTCTGCAGGTACTTCTTGACCACCTCCTCCGGAGTTTTACCTGCAGACAGAACCAGGAGATTCAGACGATCAGAAGCTCAACGTCAGGAATCCACAGGAAACCAGAACCAGCTGGATCCGACCACAAGTTCTGCTGCAAAAACTGTAAAAATGTTTAATCTTCATCAACAAAAATGGTTAAAATCACGTCATCTGGGCCCGTTTAAGTGAAGAAATGTTTTGTCCCCTATCCAGAGGACTTCGTCAGTCTGCGGCCTGCTAACCAGATCTGTCCCATAAGTAGTCTTCAATGCTGTGTTTGTTCCTTTTAAAGCCTAAAGGTTTTTACTTTTTCGAGCCCGTTTCTTGGTGGTTTTTACTTTTCGAGCCAGTTTCTTGGTGGTTTTTACTTTTCGAGCCAGTTTCTTGGTGGTTTTTACTTTTCGAGCCCGTTTCTTGGTGGTTTTTACTTTTCGAGCCAGTTTCTTGGTGGTTTTTACCTTTTCAAGCCTGTTTCTTGGTGGTTTTTACCTTTTCGAGCCTGTTTCTTGGTAGTTTTACTGCAGCAGTGGCTGAAGCCTGGCACTGGTTTAATGTCGCTCTTGCTGACGGGTGGAGGATGCAGAACCAGTTTGGGAGGCCGGGTCAGACACACTGGCAGAGCGGCAGCACTCATCAGGATTCCTGTAATCCCTGGAGTAAAACAAGAAACAGTTTGATGAGGATCATGTGCCATCTGAAGTCGGCGACCGCTCGTCTTGTGAGTGTGGGTTCTTACCAGCCAGCGCCGGATGGACCGGACTGGATCCGTTCAGATTTTTCACTGGGACGGTGGGAACGCTGCAGGAGAAAAAGACAAACCCTTTAGTCCAGAACATCCCTGTGCCTCCTAAGAAACGGACGGAGCAACTCTGATGACCGGCATTTCCAACACCAGAATTCACACAAAACCAAAAACTTGACGAAGAAGTGTCTGAACTGACACAGTTTCTACAACTTCCAGAAGCAAATCGTCCTCTCAGAACGGACGACTCTGTTCAGGCAATCCTGATTGGTGCTGGATTATGAGATATAATCCACAGAGTTTCCATCTGATCACTGAGCTCAGAGAAGCCGGTGTCGCACAACCGCCAGCCGGGGATTACCTGCTTCGTCACAAAGCCCACCCTCATCCTCTCCATCCGGTCTTTGCACCACAAGAGCAAACTCGCATCTCTTCATTTTCCTCAACTGTTCAGAGTGTTTCACAAATAACTGGTACATTTGATAGGAATTAATTCTCAGAAACAAAAATCTTTTCAGTCGAGTGTTTTTGTCCTAAAACTGGGATCAAACAACGATGTGTCACCAAGTTAGTCCAGTTGGTTCTGATTCCTCATCAAGAACAACATTAAACTGTAAACATAACATTTTATCTTAAACTATCGTGATCAGATTAATGAACATTAGAGCAAAGGAAAACTACATTTACAGCAAATATCAATAATAAACCAGAAAATACATAATTTACGTTTTGGTTTATTTCAACGTCTTCCTTTCAATGAGCGAATAATAAAAATTTTTGATCAGACCATTTTAAAGAGATATTAGAGTTGAAACTGGACGGCAGCAGGTTGGATCATTATGAATTCCTTTTATGGACCTGAAGTTCACACAGACGCTTTGTGGGCTGAGACTATGAACACAAAACTGACCTTTGACCTCAGGCTGTAAAAGCGCAACAGTCGTTGAGAGTTAATTTGTTTTCAACAGAGATGCGTGTTCAGGGGAGGGAAAAAAGTTCCTTCGAGCCGGATTTGAACCAGCGACCTAAGGATCTCTGTCCTTTGCCTCTACAGTCCTCCGCTCTACCAGCTGAGCTATCGAAGGGACAGTCCAGGGACAACCGGGGGACGTTCACATACAGAGACAAAAGTCAAAGGTCGGAGGAGCACCAGTCTGTTTTTAGTCCCACACTCAACTGGTTTCTTTCCTCAATCAAACACTTGAAAACACGAAAGCGAACGACCCGTCAGGATCTGAAACAAGTTATTCTACAGGTCAAAAGCTAGTCAAGTTAAATTTATTCATAAAGCACATTTAAAAGCAGCAGCTGTTACCAAAGTGCGTAACAATAAAAACAATGGCAGTAATTACAAGAAAAAACAAAACTATGTAAAAGCATAAAAAGAAAAAAACATAAAACAAAAAAAAAAAACGTACTAAAACAAGTCACACTGGGTTAAGTCAGTGAAAACAGATGTGTTTTATGATCATTAAAACAAATAATTTGAAGCCATACGTGTCTTAATGTCAAGACGTTTGGACAGAGGGTGAATGGAGCAAGAACTATAGGGTTTTAAGGGCAGTTTAATCTGACAATCATCAGCACAACAATGAAAAGAACGACCGTGTTTCCTCACAATAGATCCTAAAGGGAGCAGAAACAGTGGAAAACAGAAGGAGTCTAAGAATTGAGCCCTGTGGAACCCCGCCGTAAAGAGGCGCTGAAGCAGATAATATATACCAATAATATTACCAACATTAGCAGACAAAAGAAACACTGGTTTAATTGGTTTAGTGTTCTTTAGTGCAACAAATAATGACTGGATTGTTACTGGAGGTAAAAATCATCAAATTGTTATTTAAAAAAAATGTTTGGTTTTAGTGAATTTTAGGGATGATTGAGCATGAACTTTGATGTCTTGAACCACTTTGGCTGTGGCAGCCTGCCTGGGAGGAGTCGATGGGGGAGTGGACAGCCCCCAGAAACCATCTTAACATCAGCAAACTGGTTGGTCCACTAAAGGAGTGTACTGCTTAGTGGGGAAACAGTTTACTTGGGACTCCTCAGACTGATGAAGCCCTCCGGATACAGGGTGAAACGTCGTTCCACAAAAAAATAAACTGTCCAGATAACCTGACTGACCATTATTGGATTTGGTACCTGGATGACTGAGCATGAACTTTGATGTTTGGTTTTAGAGTTTTAACGTAGATTGTTGCGATTCTTGATTTCCGCATCTTTTAGTCAACTGTAATTTGTGACCCATCCCAATGAACCAGGATCAAGTCCCAAGGTGGTAAATTAAGGTATAGGCAGCTCACTGGTAGAAAAACTGGCCAATACTGGATTTACTCTAAAGATGACTAATAAATTATCTATAGGTCCCCTGAAGGAAATGCCCAACATATAATCCTAAAGAATTTTACGTAGGCCTAGTCCACTACAACCCTTATCTGAGCAGTACCAACAACTAACCAGGATTTTGAGCAGAACAACTTTTAATTTTTGCTGCTTTTCCAAACCAGTTAGGAAATCCAGATTTCCAAATCTGGTTTTAAGATTTCTCTGTCAAATGACGTCATTAGAAGACGTTAAATAAAGGATTCAGGCCGATTTTACTGGGGTTATTCCAACTAATCAAGTCATCTCTCATGTATTTTATTGGTTCATGTGTATTTTTTCCTTAAAAAAATATATAACAGTATTTGCTAAACTAAAAATACAACATTTACTAACCGTTAGAGGCGCTTGTAAGAAGAGCACTCTTGCCTTGAACACGAGGGCTTCTGTGAGCTGGTTGCAGCTGCTTCTGCTGCGTCTTTATTATCTTTCATAATCGGTTAAATACACACAGGCATGGCCGACTGCCAAATTAAACCATCCCCTTCTGGGGGATCTTGAGACGTTCCCAGACCAGGGGGGATAATCCCTACAGAGAGTTCTGGGTCTTCCCCGGGGTCTCCTCCCAGCTCAACGGACTTGAAGCGACTCCTCGCCGTTTCTCCAAGGCTGAGCCGCCCTCCAGAGCTGCTTAGATCCAGGATCAGGTTCTTTCAGTCGTGATCTAAACCTCACAACTGCACGACAAGGTTGGAACGCAAGTGGACCATTACATTAACCTGTGTTACGATGATAGACCGGAGCAACATCCTCATTACTTCACACGAGACCCTGATCCACCGAGCCATGTCTTGTTGGCAGTTTGCCAGGGAGAAGGGGGGTTTGAATGAGACTCTTGACCCTCTGCGACTCCCCCACTGTCCCAGCCCCCCTCCCTCAGTTCCCACTGCTTCAGCTTTGTATGACTTTCCCCCCCCCCCCCCCCCAACTCCAGAGGGACATCAGCTGAACTCGTCTGAACACACACACTCCGAGTCACACATTCTTTCACACACAGTGAGGAGGAAATTGTGTTTCGTTTTAAAACACAGACAGAACGTGAATTTGATGAACATATAATTATTTATTTCACTTTTTATTTTGTTTACTATATTCACATGCGCATCTCTTAACATTAACGTTTTTAAAATAAAACTATAATTAGTGAACTGCTAGAAAAAAAAAAAACAACAACTAAGTGTCTAAATTTATGTCCAGAAAATGTCTGGAGTGTTTTTCACTCCCGCAGCTCAAAACAAACTATTTAAGTTATTTATCATTTTTGCTTTTTAAATAAAAACATTTGCATTGAAACTTCCTACAGTTTCATATTTCCATTTGTCCCTAGATGTCTCCTCTGTCCCTATGTGTCCCTCTGTCCCTACACATCCCCTCTGTTCCTACATGTCCCCTCTGTTCCGACATGTCTCCTCTGTCCCTACGTGTCCCCTCTGTCCTGATGCGTCTT